TACGCATAGGTAGTGACATGTCTGATACGTGTAGGCACAGCTGCGCCTTCATCTCAGTGCGGTCATTGCATAGCGAGAATTATTCGCACGAATGGTCGATTACAGCAACAGTAACACAGGTTTCACATTATGGGGAGCGCCGGTGTGGTGCGAAAGTTCGCGCGCGTCCCGCTCAGACGATACACATGCGAATTAGTTAACGAAACTAATTGATGAAAACGCACAGGACGGGTTAACCGTGGTGCCGTAATAGAATATCCTGCCATTGTGCGGCCTGAACTAACACCAAACCTACTAAGCGTATACGTTGTCGCTAAGAAGCAAAAAGCATTGTGTATTGCCACTTTATCTGTCTTTAGTTTCATACTTATAGTTAATTTCAACTCATAACTTCCACGTCACACGACTTCATATTTGCGAGGGACTATGCCACAGCTTTACTTTCATAATTCCTGTCCTCGTCAACGAGCGCACGTACAAACTTCACGATAACATAGTTTAACTTCCACTGGAATGAAACTGATATCTGAATGAGACTGGCAAAAGAAAAACGAGAAATTGCTAAATTTCTTATGCTACGTATTTGCGAGCCGACCCACAGAGCCAGAAACGAACCGCCATGTTCCTAAACTTTTTTTTCTTCTTTTTTTTTTTTTTTTCACCTGCTTTTAACTTAATATTATCCCTGACTGGCAAAGTAAGGTGAGAATGTGGGGTGAATCTATTCGCTTGAACTACGTCAACGTGAATACATTGCTGACACTCACCACGAAGCGTTGGCTCGTGTTTTTAAAGCCAACAAACCCCGCGATAGGCATTAAACAGTGCATACCATTCTGGTGAGCAAATATGCCACCCACTAGCACTATATACACCACAACCGCACCGCGCGCATACGAGCGCACACGCAACACACACAACACACACATGGCCACACACACACACAACGACACACACACACACACACACACACACGCACGCAGCTCGCACGCACGCACGCACACACACAACACACACACACACACACACACACACAACACACACCAGGGGCGTGTACCAGGATATTGTACCGGGGGGGGGGGGTCTAACCCGTAGCCCAAACTTGGCGAGCACGCGAAAAGGGGGTCTGGGAACATTTTTGAAAATTAGACGCCCCTAGTCCCCCCCCCCTGTACACGCCCCTGCACCAACACACACACACATCACACACACACACACACACACACAGCACACACACACACACACACACCCACACACACAGCACACAGGCACACACCACACCCTGCGGCGCACGACGACACTCTCTCTCTCTCTCTCCGAACGCCTTCACGCGGCGGGGTAGCGCGTGAAAGGCGAGGGTGGGACGGCATATCTGTGGGAATGCATCTGGTTGAATAACAGTTGCAAGTTCGGAATAAGCCATGGTGCTCGAGTGTGCCAACACCACCTAGCTCTACCCGTGCTAACCTTTCACTCCCCTACAGGGATGTACGATCACATAGGCTCTACCGCTGTAACCTTCACTCCGCTAGCAGGATGCTACGATCAACATAAGCTCTACCCGTGATAAGCCCTTCTCTCCGCCTACAGGGATGTATATACAAATAGCTTCTACCCGTGTAACCCTTCACCCGCTACAGGGATGTATTAAACAACATATGCTCTTACCCGTGTAGCCCTTCGCTCACGCGCATAACGGGAATGTACGATCAACATAAGCTCTACCCGTGTAGGCCCTTCGCTCCGCGCTACAGGATGTTACGAATGCAACATAGCTCTACCCGTGTTAGCCCTTCGCTCCGCCTACAGGATGTAGCGATCACATAGCTTCTAACCCGTTGTAGCCTTGCAATCTCCGCTACAGGGATGTACGATCAACGCTACTACTACCTGTGTAGGCCCTTTACTACTCGTTCCCGCTACAGCGATGTATAAACAACGTAGGCTCTGACCCGGTTAACCTTGCACTCCGCCGCTACAGCGATTGTTTACGATCAACATAGCTCTACCGTGTACACCCTTCACTCCTGCTACAGGGAATGTACGCATCACATGAGCTCTAACCGCGTGTAGCCCTTTCGCTCCTGCTCTACAGGATTGTACGCTCAACAGTGCTCTAGCCATGTATACCCTTCGCTCCTGCCTACAGGGATGTACGATCAAACATAGCTCTTACCGCGTGTAACCCTCGCTCAGCTACAGGGATAGTATAAACACATAGCCTCTACCGTGTAGCCCTTCGCTCCTGCTACAGGAATGTACAATACAAGCATAGCTCTAACCCGCTGTAGCCGTTCACTGGCCCGCTAAGCAGGAATGTAATAAACAACATAGCTCTACCCGTGCAATCCTTACGCTCCTGCTACAGGGAATGTACAAACTAACATAGCTTAACCGATAAGTAAGGCCCTATACCTTCCGCTTACAGGCATGCTACGAATTAACATAGCTCTAACCGTGTAGCCCTTCGCTCCTGCTACAGGGATGTACAAAAACATATGGCTCTACCCCGTCGTAGGCCTTCACATCCGCTACAGGGATGTATAAACAACAAACTCTACCCGTGTAGCTCTTCGCTCCTGTTACAGGGATGTACGATCAACATAGCTCTACCCGTGTAACGCCTTCCCCCGCACAGGGAATGTACGATTAACATAGCTAGTACCGCGTGTAAGCCCTTCGCCATCGGCTGCTACAGGGATGTACAACAAACATAGCTCTACCCGTGCTAGCCGCTTTCAACTCCCGCTACAGGGGAATGTAATAAACAACAAACTCTACCCGTGTAGCTCTTCGCTCCTGTTTACAGGGATGTACGGCATCAACATAGCCTTTAGCCCGCTGTAACCCTACAACTCCCGCTACGCCAGGAATGTACGATCAACATAGCTCTATACCCGTGAACCTTCACTCCGCTACAATGTGTTACGTCCTAATACACATCGACATGGACGCGTTATATACATCGCTACACGATATGCACACGTACATTGTAGCACATACACAGCCATATACATCGGTACACACATATATACAATCACGCTACATTGCACACATACACAATATTACATCGTACACATATACACACGTACATGCACACCATACACATCATATACATCGTACACATATACACACGTACATTGCACACATACACACATATACATCGTACACATATGCACACGTACATTGCACACATACACACATATACATCGTACACATATACACACGTACATATATACATTGTACACATACACACATATACATCGTACACATATACATCACGTATACTACTATTGTACAAATATCACGTATATACATTGTACACATATACACGTGTATATACATTGTACACCATATACACACCGTATATACATTGTACACATATGACCGTATATACATTGTGTAGCACATAAAATATAAATGTAAATATACAGTGTACACATCATACACTTTCAATTGTCACACATATAACGACGTATATACATTGTACAACATATCACACGTATATACATTGTACACATATACACGTATTATACTATTGTTACACATATACAAGCGATAACTTGTACCAATATACAAGTATATTGTAGCACACTATACTCATTGTACACATATACACGTATATACATTGCACACATATACAGCGTTATATACATTGTACACATATACTCATTGTAC